AGACCTTGAATTTGCATATAATAATTCTGACTTCCTTCGCATCCTTTTCTCCAAGGTAGCTGCAGAGGCTACTTTCTGTAATGAATCAATGAGAGAAACAAATCACTCCATGGTGACTGAGTTTATTTTTCTGGGACTCTCCAATTCTCAGGAACTCCAGATTTTCCTATTTGTATTCTTCTTTATATTCTATGTAGGAATTGTGTTAGGATATCTTCTCATTGTCATAACAGTGGCTTCTGACTCCCACCTTCACTCTCCCATGTACTTCCTGCTGGCCAAACTCTCAGTCATTGATCTATGTCTGTCTTCAGTCACAACCCACAAGATGATTGCTGACTTTTTCAGTAAGCGCAAAATCATCTCTTTCAAGGGCTGCCTTGGTCAGATGTTTCTCCTTCACTTCTTTGGTGGGAGTGAGTTGGTGATCCTTATAGCCATGGCGTTTGACAGATATGTAGCAATCTGTAAACCCCTTCACTACACCACAACTAGGTGTGGCAGTGTATGTGTGGGCATTGTTGTTGCTGCTTGGGGAACTGGCTCCCTCCACTCAGTGAGTCAGTTGGCCTTTGTGGTGAACTTACCCTATTGTGGCCCCAATGAGGTGGACAGCTTTTATTGTGACCTCCCCAGGGTCATAAAACTCGCCTGCACAGACACCCACAGGTTGGATATCATGGTCATTGCTAACAGTGGCATGCTCATTGTGTGTTCTTTTGTTCTCCTAGTCATCTCCTACACTATCATCCTAGTGACCATCTAGTGCCACACTTCAGACAGGTCATCAAGGCTCTGTCCACGTTGACAGCTCACATCACAGTAGGTTTTTTGTTCTCCTAATCATCTCCTACACTATCATCCTAGTGAACATCCACCGCCGCCAGGTCATCCAAAGCTCTGTCCACGTTGACAGCTCACATCACAGTAGTTCTTTTGTCCTTTGGACCATGTGTCTTCATTTATGCCTGGCAATTCACTATTAAGTCATTAGATAAATTCCTTCCTGTGTTTTACTCTGTACTCACTCTTCTCTTGAACCCAAGAATATATACGCTGCGGAACAAAGACATAAAGACGGCAATGAGACGGCTGAGAAAATGGAATGTGAATTGTAGGAGACTTGTGAGACTAGTCTGAGATAATAACATATAGTAAAA